CGTGTTTGTCTGTGCTCTGGGTGCAATTCGGCTTCTGTTACCAAAACCCCTCGAGTAGGATGAGTCTGTGGCACACTCTGCCTTCTAATGCGTCACGAGCATGGTCGACGACACCTAAGTGTTCAGTGACGTGCTGATGTGAAGGACAACTGTTGGAACTCGGCCGTACGAGGTCGACTCGTGCAGCCGAGTTGTCATTAGGAGTCTGAATCCTTCATTACTAACTCTATTTCTACGTTTCCCTTGATTCAGCATTAGGTTATGACTACAGTCATTCTAAAATCGGCAGAAAATGTTCTTGCGTCGTTCTCGTTATTTCTTAAGCGTTCCAAGAATCTAAACTGAGGTTTCTTGAAAATAAGACCACCGAATAGTTGCTTACACATAAATAATTTTATGCTCTTGTGCGTACGGTTGGGTAGATCATTAGTGAATTGTTTGCTTGATTCGCTTGTCTCAAACACACATGTTTCACTGTCGATCTGTTGAGTAGTAATTCGCTGTAGCATTTCAGAATGTTGGATGGTCGTGTTGTCGGTAAGAAACTTCTTTATTTGGAGGAGCCAAGCAGTAGTAGTTGGGTGAAGGATAACTTCGTGGTCGGTGATGTACTTGGATCAGGTTTAGTTTACTCCCATTCGCCAGTTCAGCTGGATTCAGCATTTTGTCCACTCATGAATTGTGAACATCATTGTGGATTAGAATCCCTAATTTGCTCCTCGTTGTAAGCAGAAATGAGTTCGATAAGCTGTCAGTTAATAAGCGTAAGCAAATAGCTGGATCGATGAAGCAATCGATGTCAACAATTTTCAGGTACATTCGGTACGGTCTACGCAGTAGAGTGTCGTCGCAGTCCAGGCACGTTGTATGCAATGAAAGAATTAACCAGAAATAGTTTACCGAAGTATGTGGCCACTGAACTAAGAATATTGCAGCGTTGTGGTGGTGAACATAACATTGTGCGTATGCATGCTGCACATCGAGAAAAAGATCGAGTCTTTATTGTTATGGATTATTTTGAGCACACTCCCATGAGGGTATCCATTCATATTTTTTTCGATATTTTCGCATTCATTTATCAGCAAAGAAATGGCAACCTCAATTAGAATATTGTAAATTACATGATTGAAATCTTTCTGATTGTGTCGTAACTTGACGATTTAATTTTAAGAAATGGTTGTTATTATAGCACGGCGACTCATGATAAATATCTGAATCCATGTCCTCATTTGGTGGAACTGGAATGAGACGATTTTCAGGAAATTCTATCATCAATAACAACGAAAGAGATAATGGAATATATGAAAAATCTAATAATTGCGCTACAATATCTCCATTCGAAAGGCATCATTCATCGTGACATCAAACCATCGAATTTTCTTTTTGATCGAAAGAGGAAAAGGTTTACTGCTTGATAAAATCTTTATGAAGCGATTATTACGAATATTGCAAAATTACGGCTCATCGTCAGATCCAAACACATTGATTTTTAAAGCATAAACTAGTGATTCATGCAGTTTTCGCTATTTTGCCCACATTTCCAGCTCTAATCGATTCACATCTCTTCGCTTAATTGCATTTTGTTTGATGACTTAAAATAGTTATTGTTTAGATTTTGTTTAATCGATTTCGGTCTTTGCGAGGAATTAAATCGTTGTACATCACCTACGAATAATGCGCGATTGAGAAGTATAAATGTATGTTTTCATTCATAAAATTATTTCTTNTGGTTTTTGAGTGTTTATTTATCTGGTGATATAACTTTATTCAAATCAATCTGTTCTTATCAAAGGAACTTAAGGGTACAACTACGCAGCGTTGTGCGGCCAAGCGAATATGTTTAGAAAGCGGTGTTTTGAATCGTGAAGAAGATTCGGAGAATGATGAATCAAAGATTATCGTGAAAAAACATCAAAAAGCATTCTCGAAAGTCCGCGTTACGAATCCAAATTCCAAGTGTAGTTGTTTCGCTCAACCACGAGTATGTTCAATATGTCAGAAACGACCCATTCACAACGTCAATAAGGTTCGTTTTCTGCAGATATTCATTGTATCGTCGATTGCGGTGAGTGTCTGATTTTGGAATTTGTAAAAGAAATGAAAGTTGCGGTCATTTACTGGTTATGAGTTCATTTGGTGGAAAAGAAACAATTGAGCTCTAGATCATCGGTTTCTGATTATAAATTCGTGTCATAATTACAATAAGTCGTTTAAAGTGAATTTTTGCTGCGTTGTTTTTGATGCTGAATGACTTCATATGATAAGTTGTGTGTGCTGAAGAAATGATCGCTCAACGTTGAATTAATGATGATTCAAGGCTGGCACACCGGGTTTTCGTGCACCAGAAGTGCTGTTGAAAAGTAACGAACAAACTCCACTGATGGACATTTGGGCGTGCGGTATAACGTTCCTGTCACTGCTGTGCGGTAGACATCCCATCATGAGACCGGCAGACGATCACGAAGCCATAGCGCAGCTGTCCACTGTTTTTGGTACCAAATCATTGCAGTTGTTAGCGAAAAAAATCAATTCCTCACTGTTGTTCAGTCCGTCATTTCCCGGCTTGGATATCGTCAAATTTGTTCGTGCAGTTCGGAATGGTTCATTCTTAGTTTATTGTTTCATTGATCCGTATTTGTTTTCTTATTGTGACAGTAACGATTTCATTGTTCCTTTGGACAAGGTTTTGAAACGTTGCTCGGCATCTGATATACGAAAGCACACTTCTATCAGCAATCAAAGCGCTTGTGTATGCGACAAACCATATTCTGATTTCATTTTCCGATGTGAAATCACCTGTTGTTTCTTTATTGTGTGGGGCGTATTGTATGGCAGGAAATAGTTGCTGCATCTTCACGAGAATGGTAATAAGAAAATTAATTCAAGGTATAAATTCGAGTTCGAGCACAATCACAACGCCAACAACAGCGACTAACGAATGTCAAATATGTAGTGATCTGTTTTTCGAGAATAAATCTGGTGTATGTTTATGCAAGAGTTCCGAACAGGCCTCCTTAAGAGAACTTGCTCCAGGTTCGATCTTATTGCGAAATTGTTCTGTCAGAATTTTTTGTTGCAGTTATAAATCAAGAAATATTTCTGTCGTTTTGCATTCATCGGAAGCATTTGATTAAGCTTTCATTCGTCACTGATAAATCTGCATGTTTCATGAGACAATATCATGCTATTTATAATTGATGAAGGACTAATTTTTAGACGAACGACAGCTCTTTGAAGTACTGAAGAAGTGTCTCGTGATTGATCCGGATGAACGATATGATGCGGATATGCTTAGTGCTCTTTTGAGTTGATACATTCCATGGCATATTAATGCTCATAATTAATGCTGTTTTCATCAGTTTTATGATTGTAAGTCATATTAACACGATTCTATTGGTTGTATAAAACAGAGCAGCATACCATTAATGTTCACCGCATGCGAAGTGCACTAATTTTTCTTCGAATCGAAAATGCGTTCCCAATATTTTATGAATGATAATGGCAAGTTCTTCATTGACTGATCGTTGCAGAATTAGTGATGTTAGGAATTAATTTTCAAATATGAGTGAGAATGTTTGTTGTTTCATCGGAACATATAATTATTCATATATATATATTCTTTCTGTGAGAGCAAATCTGTATGAATTCGTTTCGCTGTATCATCAGTTTATTTATGGTTTTGTTGGTCGTTCATTTTGTTTTAATTCCCTAATAAATGTTTGGATAATTTTCAGCTGTATTCTCTTTAACGATTTATGACACTAATTTTGCGGTTTATAACCGTTTACAAGTGACGTTCATATTTGTTGAACGATTTCCCTTTTCACTATTAATTTATTGACGAAGTATTTTTGAGCATACTGCACTAATAAGTAAGATTGTTTGTAATTGATGGGAACAATTATCTCATCGTACAGTTAGTCTGAGGCATTCGTGAGATGTGTGGTGCTTTATGAAATGTGGTGATGGCTAATTTGTGGCAATGAAGATATATATTGCTCATCTCTTCTCGCTTCTTAAAATTCCATTTTCTTCACGTTGAGATGTAATCGATGTTTTTGTTCCGCGCTGATATTTCATACAGTTCAGATGATCACAACGATGAA